TCCGCGGGTACAGAGAGCAGCTGTCTCCTGTACCCGTCGGACCATGCTGTAGTGAGGGAGCTGACAGGAGCGCTCCCTCCTGTCAGCCTCTCCTCAGGCTGCGCCCGGGCGGTGCGGTCCGCCCTCATGGACGCACCGCCCGGGCAAAGCTGCAGCCGCCTGAGGCTCAATACAGAGCGCTCGGGCGGCTGCAGCATGGGGGGGGCGGGGGGCTGGCCATGGCACCCCCCACCCGGCTGGCACCCGGGGCGGACCGCCCCCCCCGCCCCCCCCGCCCCCCCCTAAGTACGCCACTGCAGGGAAGGGGTTAATTTTTTATTAAAATGGGTAAAGGGGGGACTTTAAATTAACTTTATTTTTTTTAACAGCAGGGGGCAGGATCAGCACTGTTCCGGCTCCCTGCACTTCACACAGAACCAGGAAGTGCAGGGAGCCGGAAGGTAAGTATACACAGCACAGGTGCTCGCTCTGACTTGCGGTCAGAGCGAGCACATGTGCTGGGAAGACTGACCGGGTGCTCCCGGTATGCCTCTAATGCAGAGGCATACCGGAGCACCATTAACCCCGCGATCGCCGCGATAGCGGCAATCCGGGGTTAATTTTACCGCGTGACGGACAAGGTCCGTCACTCGTCATTAAGGGTTTCCCTTCTGTGACGGACCTCGTCCGTCACCCGTCCTTAAGGGGTTCAAAACATCTGGAGATTTACCTATTGGGCACCCCTGCCCTAGTCTCTATCTCCCTTATTTAACGGACAACTGTGACCTCAAAAATAATTTCTTAAAATAATCATCCTTTAATCAAACATTTAGAGAATATATATATATATATATTTTTAAATAAAGTATATGTAAGAAATGAGAAACTCATCCCTACCTTTAGTATATGACAGGATTTTCAACCATATACATACACCTTGGGTCAGACACTGTTTGAAAACCAACAGTCAGTTTCCATGGATTCTGTCATATACTAAAGGTAGGGATGAGTTTTACTCATTTGTGTACATGTATTTCATTTAAAAAAAATCTATTTCCTTTCAAAACTTAAAAAACCCCCAATATATATGGTTGTGGTATGAGTATCTCCTGGTGGTGGGTAACCCCATTTAAAAAAAAATGAAAATTTATAGAAGAGAGAATTCGTAACTCAGGAGCATGGAAAGGGAACGTATACCTAATGGTCCCAAAGTAGTGGAAATGTGAACCAACTAAAGTAATTGTTATGAGTATAAAATGTAACTTTTAATAAATTATTAGATAAACATTCCTTATACACCGGTGAAACATAGTGAGTTAAACCACCACCTAAAATATTATAAAAATATATAACATAACAAAGTCTCCACTAACGGTAAACTTGTGGAAACACTGACTTTGTCTGAAAGCGGAGTCAGTGTAAATACAAAGCGAATAGGTTTGTCTTTTAGTCTACAAAAATATAATTATAGGAAAAGCTCAACTGAAAATGGGTGATATGTAATGTGGTATAAAAAGTACCAGGTGCTTTATAAAAAAAAGAATCCGTTCCCACACTGGATATATACATATAACAGAAATAGTGATGTCCCGAACTGTTCGCGAACGGTTCACCACGGTTCGCCGTGAACGGTTCTCCGCGAACTCCAGTCAGCAGACACATTCCAGCCAATCAGCAGCAGACCCTCCCTCCCAGATCCTCCCACCTCCTGGATAGCATCCATTTTGAAGCTGCATTTTTAGTGAGCTGTCCAGGAGGTGGGAGGGTCTGGGAGGGAGGGTCTGCTGCTGATTGGCTGGAATGTGTCTGCTGACTGGAGTCCGTGGCGAACCGCGGCGAACCGTTCGGCGAACAGTTCGGGACATCACTAAACAGGAATAATAATGATCCCAAGGCACACCAAATTTTGCACATAAAAAAGCGTTTATTCATACATAAAGAGTACATCAAAATATCTTGACAAAAATAAAGTGCATAAAGTAGTGCATAACCAATTTATAGTACCAATATCACAATAATAATAAAGTGCTAAATGCAAACACCAATTAAAAAGGTATACTGACCAAGAGCTGGAGAAATGAAAACCCAGACATTTCGGCTATGAAGCCTTCTTCTGGGGGACCTCTCACTGACTGATCTATATTTCCACGTATATACCCTGTAGATTCAGACTAATAAACCTAAAAACGATCAGCTGGATAAAGGAAGGCACTTGCTATTTATTTAATGTTGTGTGAAATCTTCTGCAGAATACCGGGAGTTACTTCTGGGTATTGATGACGTCATGACGCTGGTGCGTCAAATGACTTCATTACGTATGGGCGTGGTCACGTGTTCTGGTACTGCAGAACAACTACAGGAGAATGAAGTGGCCAACATTTTTATAAACTAAAGGGGAAAATAATTCTTAATGCATAACGGCTAATTGTAGACTTATCAAACGGATGGTACATTCCATATCCCCTGCAGTACATCATATGAGCATTGTGTATATGCAAGTATAAGGTATACATAAAATCTAAGCAATCTAAACCAGATTACCACCAGAATATAGGCAAGCACTATTATACACAATACCCCACATTATAATAGATCCATAGTACACAGTTTTAGACAACATGATACATAACATGGTTTCAGCAAATTACATGTTAGACATACACTATTCCATAGTAAACCATTTCAGGAAATAGTAGAATAAACAATGTTAGCATGTAGTCATATATAAATAATACACATATTATACATAATGAGCATACAGGGCCCCATATATAACACAAAAAAATATATATAAAGAAAAAAAATAAGAAAAAAATATGTGTGATAAATAATAAACAAAAAAAAATTAAAAAATAATAATAATAAAGAGTGTGGAATACCAGACCCATGGGTTCCGGGAAAATTCCCCAAGATCCATGGATGTGTGCATCAACACCCTGAAAATAGAAAAAAATACAAAGAGTAAAATATATAATATTGATGTAAACCAATCCATGAATTTCGGGCAAGAAATAACCAATCCCTAGTTCATGGTATGGGTACATCAAAAAGTATAAATACATAAAGAGTAAAAAAATTAAACAAATCGTCGTATCCACTGTGAGTCTGTCTGTTTCTTTATGGACTGAACTTGAGAAAACTCCCTATTAATCCAGATCTTGCTGATCCCTGTCACCCTTCTCGTATGTGGAAAAACTATAAAAACTATAGATATAAAAAAGTAAGTAAGAACTAGAACAAAAAAGACAAAGGTAGATTTACCAGCAAAAAAAGTAAAAAGGATTAAATATATTATCTAAAGCAGACAAAATCCCTAACTTTGGTGTGCCTTGGGATCATTATTATTCCTATTGTCTTTTAGTCTGCCTGGATTTGATAATAAAATAATAGTCAAATCTGGCAATACTAAAAAGAGTTAAGTGAAGTAATGGTATAGTGATGTCCCGAACGGTTCGCTGAACGGTTCGCGAACGGTTCACCCGCAAACGGTTCGCCACGGACTCATATTGAGTAAACTTTGACCCTGTACCTCACAGTCAGCAGACACATTCCAGCAAATTAGCAGCAGACCCTCCCTCCCAGACCCTCCCACCTCCTGGACAGCATCCATTTTGAAGCTGCATTCTTAGTGAGCTGTCCAGGAGGAGGGAGGGTCTGCTGCTGATTGGCTGGAATGTGTCTGCTGACTGTGAGGTACAGGGTCAAAGTTTACTCAATATGAGCCCGCAGCGAACCTGTTCGCGGGCGAACCGTTCGCGAACCATTCGGCGAACTGTTCGGGACATCACTATAATGGTATATGAAACTCGGTATCTCGCTGATGATTCTATCATTCGATAATATGATATTTCTTGCAGAACTGCAAGAGTTAAATAAGGCAAAGATAAAGAAAACAGCATCTCGTTGTTAAACCTTAGTATGGATGCTCAGCGAATGCAATTTATAAATCTGCAATTTCTAAATATTATATATTACAGTATTGTTAGTTAGACCAATGATAACATCACTTCTTTGACACCACCTCATCTCAGCAAGTTTTCTTGAGAAAGACAACTGATACATATTCACGTATCTCAAATATTCATAAATTATAAGATCACATTAGCAGAGCCTTCTTCACATTTAAATATCCGCATTCTATAACTAAGTAGTGAAGAATGCGTTGATACTATACCAATGCTAATCATAACTTTTTACTATTATCAATGTGATAACTGCAATGATATTGATCAGTATTTATTTATATTCATATAGAAACATAAGGGCATTTATGTTATCAGGGGATGCAGTTAAATACAAACTGGTGTATTTTAACACTTTGTACACAAAGTGTTCACAGACCAATTTTACTGTGTGTGAGAAAGCAGAGAAAATATTACTAAAAATTGTGGAAGAATCTGGTGGCAAAATTGCGCAATATGTGATATCTTAATAGGTCTACTTTAAAAATTGTGTTTCCTTCTGTTGGTAATTTTAATTGGGTGGCTGGTAATCTCACCAAAAGGACACATTGACGAAATCCAATAGTAACTAAATTGTTGTACATATATGATACATGTAGGTGCAGATTGTGGTCTATTTATGTATTATCTATGGGATATATGTACTGTTTGTACTATAACCTGAAGAGCAACTGAATGCCAATTGGTTTCACAGTCTCACAGTTTGAATCATTTGTAACCATTTGACTATTCATACAAAGCAAATTTGAAGCACTTCCAATTTTGCAACAAGCTAGGGGGGGAAATCCTTATTGACCCCAGAATGGCAGTCAGATTTATCCTTGAGCTATTACCCTACATTGAAAAATTATATCCTTGAATATTCTGCTTTTGCAAGTATGCATCTAGTAGCTGTTTGAACATCTGTATGGACTTTGATAAAACCACTTCTTCAAGCAGAGAATCCCACATCCTTATTGTTCTTACAGTAAAAAAAACTTTTCTTTGCCTTAGACAAAATCTTCTTTCTTCCAGTCTAAACGCGTGACCTCGTGTCCTATGTAAAGTCCGGTTTGTGAATAGATTTCCACACAATTCTTTGTATTGGCCACGAATATATTTGTATAATGTTATCATATCCCCTCTCAGGCGACGTTTTTCTAAACTAAATAGGTTTAAATTTGTTAACCTTTCTTCATAGCTGATATGTTCCATTCCTTTTTATTAATTTTGTAGCCCGCCTCTGCACTTTTTCTAGTGCCATAATATCCTTCTTTAGAACAGGTGCCCAAAATTGCACAGCATATTCAATATGTGGTCTTACCAGTGATTTATAAAGAGGCAAAATTATATTCTTGTCCCGAGAATGAATGCCCTTCTTCATGCATGACAATACCTTACTGGCCTTGGCCACTGCTGATTGACATTGCACATTGTTGCATAGTTTGTTGTCTATAACAATTCCCAAGTCCTTTTCGTGTTGTTATCCCTAATTTGCTTCCATTAAGGGTATACGTTGCTTGTGTATTCTTTACGCCGAAGTGCATAACTTTGCATTTTTCAACATTAAATTTCATCTGCCATTTCAGTGCCCAGTCCCCCAGTCTATCTAAATCCCTCTGCAGCAAAGTAATATCTTGCTCACATTGTATTATTTTACAAAGTTTTGTGTCATCTGCAAACACTGAAACATGACTTTCAATGCTGTCTTCAAGATCATTTATAAACATGTTAAGTAGAAGGGGTCCCAGAACAGACCCCTGAGGGACACCACTTGCCACCTCTGTCCAGCTTGAAAATTTACCATTAATGACAACTCTTTGTACTCTGTTTTTAAGCCAATGTTTTACCCGAGAACAAGCATTTTCACCTAGACCGATTTCCTTGAGTTTGAACACTAATCTATTGTGTGGAACTGTATCAAATGCCTTGGCAAAATCCAAATAGATCACATCCACTGCAACACCCTGATCTATACTTCTACTTACTTCTTCGTAGAACGCAATCAAGTTAGTTTGACATGACCTGTGCTTCATAAAGTGAGTGACTGAGTGTGGGTGAGTGTGTGATTCTGAGTGTGGGTTAGTGGCTGATGGCTGTGTGTGGGTTAGTGACTGAGTGTGGGTTGGTGGGTGAGTGAGTGATTGTGAGTGTGGGCAGGTGACCGAGAGTGGGCGGGTGACAGTGTGGATGGGTGACCGATTGTGGGCGGGTGACAGTGTGGGTGGGTGACTGAGTGTGGGTGAGTGAGTGATTCTGAGTGTGGGTTAGTGGCTGAGCGTGGGTGGCTGAGTGTGTGTGGCTGGGAGAGAGTGAGTGGGAGTGAGTGAATGAATGAGTGGGAGTGAGTGAGTGGGAGGGAGAGAGTGAAATAGATAGAGAGAGAGAGAAATAGAAATAAATAGAAATATATATATATATTTATTGGCGAGAAACCCAAGTTTATTTTTAGGGGGGCTAAGAATTTTAGACAAAAACTGACAAAAAGTTTTATAGAAAAAGAAGCCCTGAAGGTTACAAATAACATTTTGACTATGTGCGCACAAAAACAAGCGGGTTTTTATCATTGTGTCTCTTGTAATGCATGCACTAATTCAAGCATAATTAATAAAAATATAAAAGAATTTGTTTCCATGGTAACCAATGAAAAGTATAAAATGAAAACTTTAATTTCATGTCACACCAAAAATGTAATTTATTTATTAAAATGCACATGTGGCTATCAGTATATCGGCAAGACATCTAGAATGATTAAATCTAGAATTAGTGAGCACATTAGAAACATCAAGAAAGGTTTCATAAATCATGGTGTATCTAAGCATTCAGACCCTAGTACTTTAGAATTTTATGGAATAGAAAAAGTAAGTAATCATTGGAGAGGGGGAGATTTAGCTAAAAAATTGAGCCTACAGGAATCAAAATGGATCTTTGAGATGAGGACACTAACCCCTCTAATGCTAAATATAGATTTTGAGATCAATTGTATTCTATGATTTTTTTATTTTTTTATTTATGTATTCCCTTTAACACTATCTGGGTTGATGTCTATCTTTGGTCTTTTTATATATTTATATTAATACTAATTTTTTCCCTATATATATAGGATGATATTTAAAAAAATAAGTAAATTATTTTGAGATGAGGATTGAGTGGAGTTATTAAGGAGTATATATATATATATATATATATATATATATAGATAGATAGATAGATAGATATTTTTTTAATTATGTATATTTAAAATCTTGTGTCATTTTTTATCTTTTATTTTTATGCTGTACATATTCTATGGACACTATGGACATTTCGGGGATATATGCCCATTTCCAA